ATATGGAGCAACATAAAACACCACTCTTAGACACAACTGTCAAGCAGCCCTCATTTCTAGTGTGTTCACTCATGTGACTCAGTCAGTGAACATTTCTCTTTGGGTCTTATTAACATGTTGAGCTGTAGTATCAAGGCTAGAGAAAAATACTTCTGGCTGAGGGAAGCGTTCCCACAGCAATTTGCATTTGAGTTTCTCTGACAGATCGCATTTTCTAACATGCAGCAATGATTGCATGGACTTACTTGTGTGATTTCTTGGTATTTGCTCCATCAGGTCCCTCTCCACAGTCGTAAGCCTGGATGGTGAACGTGTGCTCCTTATGTGCTTCACAATCCACTGGTTCCTTGGCCCGGATCAGCCCCTCACCCGTAGCTTTGTCCAGGATCACAGCTTCAAAAGGTACCCCTGCCCCATGGATCCTGAAGCCACAGATTTCACCTGGTAGCCACGAAGGCAGAGAGGAAGCGGAGAAAGAAAAGGGCTGAGGAGAGTGCGTTATGCCCCCTGGCTTCCCTCTCCCATATTTTCTTCCTTACTGACTTACGCTCCCCCTTCTCCCTTATTATCACCTCTCATTTCCAGCAGTTTTTGGTTCCCTAAGAGTTCCTCCTGCCCTCTCTCACAGCCATCAATGGTGCAGATTGCCCTCTACTGGAAACTACTCCCACGGCAAGGAGTCCTGACCAGCATCAAGAAAGATCAGAGGTTACGAGGCTCAAGCTAGATTTATTAGTGCTACACAGCCACGGTACTGAGGGAGCACCTTGTTTCTCCTCTGCATCCCTCAGGGAGGCAAAACAGGCCACATATTGCAGATAGACAGCCAAAGCGTGAAGATCCATGATGTCTCATCCACCCACACACGCAGGATGTGCACCGTACTGCAGGGAACTGCAGAGAGGGTCACCCGAATCCTGGAGTTCAGCTCACAGGGACCACTTTTCCTCTCCCAAAGCTGAGGGAGGATGCGCGAGGAAGCTCCAGGCACGGCCCAAGCAAGCACCGGGAATACAACCCTCGGAAAGCCTCATCCGTAGTTTCAGGGATTTGTGCTTACTGTGAGGGGATGTCGCACTGCCAACGAAGTGTGCCCGACCAGCTCTCTCCAGCGCTCACAGACACAGAGCTGTGCATGTGATCTTTGGAAATAGCAGAACTGCGTCAAAAAGTAGCTGGCTCCACCCTCAATTTCTCTCCCTAAGGGAAACAGCTCACAGCATCCTAAATCAAGCTGTGCCCCGACTGCCTCCAGACTTCACTGGGGACCTCCTCCGGAACAAGGTTTGGAGGTGATCGTTTCCTGGAGAGAGCTAGAATCCAGCACAGGGATGAATGTCACCCTGCCTCTGCCTCTTCCGAAGTCTCTCCCTGCCTCCCACCCTTCCCAGAGCTGTCACCCACCTACCTGCATAGCGCAGTGGAGCATCTTTGTCCAGTGCAAATAGCGGTGGGTTGAGCAGGACTGTGTTGTCATTCTCCATGACGATGCCCTGATACTCGGCTTCAATCCAGGGTTTGTGCTTGTTTGCTGAGGTGGATTTGGGGTAAAGGAGGGAGCACAGGAACGTGTTAGCCGCCAATGACAGATTCAGTAGGAAAGGAGCAGAATATCATCCAGTAGCAGGTAACAACCACCCCTCCCCACCTCCCTCTCTGGAAATAAAGAAGTCTAAAACAGGCTGGGAGGAAGAAGTTCTCTTTCTTTAGTTCTACTCTACATGGCTCTTGGGAGACCTCGTCAGGAACAATGTGTTCCTTCCGGCCTCCTCATTACTATCTTACAAGAAATATGCGGAGAGGCATCTGGGTGCCCAGGAAAGCTGGAGCGGTTAAAAAAAATTGAAATCAAGAGGCAGAAGTAGCCTGATCCTGGAGACAGATTCCAAATGCTAAATCCTTTAGCTCACTCAAGCCATAATTACAGGATCCAGGATACATCTTCCCTTGGGGTGTCCCCAGGGGACAAGTCTTGCACGCGGCCATTATCACTTACACCTCCCATCCTCTGGACTAAGGGCCCTGATCTACACACGCCTACCCAGGTACGCTGTCAGTCAGTCACCCTACGTGTAGAATAACCTCCTCTGAGAGTCCCTTGCTCCTTCCTTCCCCACTCCATGGCGAGCACCATATTCCCTTGGCCCCTCCTTGCTAATCCCGGTGGCTGGAGCCCAGCCAGGCTTGGCATGGAGGCAGCAGCCAGCAGGAGGCTCTGAAAAATGTCACAGGCCCAGAAATAGCAAATTAATCTTTATCACACAGGCTCCGGGGCAGGGAAAGGGAGAAATAAAGGGTTGGGGGGGGAGGGAAGGGGAGGGGAGAGGAGGGGAGAGAGGAGAAAAATCATTGCAAATTAAAAACCCCTCCCCCATGCCCACTCCCTGCCAAATGGGCCTCAGAGATTATATTCCATGGCCTAGTTACAACCCCCCATTCCCAGATAATCCCCCACTCTCCCACCCCCTGGAGACCAAGATTTATTACAGCCCAGTGATACTTTGAGCACAGCATGGCTCAGAGCTGGTGGGGAGCAGGACACCGAGCCTTTCCCCTCAAGGGCACTACTTCCAGTATGTGAATTCATCCCCTGCAGCACAGCATCCTCTGAAACCACACCGGCATGGCGTGATGTGTTGACTCAAAAGGGCCCGTATCCCTTACAACCAGCCGCTCCCGCAAATCGGGGCCGGGGGACGCTGCCGGAGCCGGGCGGTGGGCCAGCAGACAGGGCGACAGGTCAGGGTGGGGACGCATCAGCGGGGCAGAGTGGGCAGACCCAGCCTGGCGTAGCGGCAAAGAGCGTGGGTTGGCATTTCTCCCTCACCGTATTGATTAAGATTATAAAGCATTGCGTAGGAAATCCAGGGAAGCAGCCGCCCTGCTCAGTATGCAGGTGGAATCCTCCCTGTGTGCAAGTGCCCACGTTTCACCCCACCCCTCTGTTGCCCCCACTGGATTCCACCCTGCGGACGGCTCTTGTCCACGCGCCGCGCCACGCCACCGAGGTGGGAATCCATAGCTACAAATGCCAAATGTGCCCTGTTGCTGGGGTAACAAGCTGGTGGCAGAGAGATAAATCCTTTGCTGCATCCACCTGCAACTTGGGAATCACCAATCTGATTTCTCGGGAAACGAGTTCCTGGAGATTAGAAAAACATTTTTGGAATATTTTTAGGATACAGACTCCCACCATCTTCAAGAAAGCTCCTGTAAATCTAAAATAATTTGCCAAAGGCGGGGGGTGGGGTGGGGTAGATGTTTCAGAGTGTAAATTCACAAAGGAGAGAGAAAACCCAGAGCGTAAGGGGCCTTGCCTCGCCACCGGGCCCCTTGGCACCACAGCAGTACGAATAAATGCCCCTGCCAATGTCAGCGTACACAGAGCTCCGCGTTGCACCCGCCCTGTAGCCCTACCTCTGCCGAAGCACGGAAGGCACCCTAAGGTGTCACATTCCCTGATGACCCCCGAGTCCCTCGCATGTTTTCAGATTCTCCCACCCTGTCAGATTATTGACGCACTGGCTCCCCTCGGACAAATGTCTCACGCCTGTCTCTACAGCCACAGATCTAGAAACCCACATCCTTCTCCATCGCTCTACGTGGCCAAAGAACATCTGCATTCAGAACGTTAACAGCTATAGCGTTAGGGGCTTGGGGGTTTTTTTTACACATTTGGCACATAAAATACTGTTTTATGTAAGCAACCTGCAGAGTTAACACATAACCGTACAATAATTCCTACTGATGGATTGTAGACGGATGAAGTAGAATTGGAAGATGGAGACAGGGGATGTGTTTTGGAGACCACAGGGGTCTGTGGAGAAGCAACACATTCTCTCCCAGCGGGCTAAGGAAGGGAAGGAAAGCTAAAGCCACCCAGCGATAACTGAAACAAAAGCAAGACAAGCGGGTGGAAAAGGGGGAAACGCGAGGGGAATGCCAGAAGGAGAGAACGGAGAGGAAACCGGTGGCGGGAGACGGATGGAGAAAGTAGGGAGAGGGGCTGGGATGAGGACGCCCGAAGGGGCAGAGGGAGCCGGAGCCGCCGGGGGCCGCGGACGAAAAACGTGCCAGGCGAAGGCGACGGGCAGCGCGGAGCCGCATCCGCGGGGGCGGATGGATGAACGGCGGCTCAACGTGCCCCGACCACCACCACCACCCCCCCCAC